CAGCACCAACGAGATCAGCTAAGCCTCTCAAGAAAGGGTTTATCGACGCTGGTGCCCCATGCAAGACGCAAGGATGCTTAAAGTTTGGCACCCCTGCACAACAAGGCCTCTGCGTTCCTTGTTACGAGAAGCTACAAAAAACCCAATCTATTGGGACATTCACTTCCGCTTCCGGTTCACCTAGTGTATCTGTATGCGTGGCCCAACAAAGAACGTCCCAGCCTACCAATTGGCCAAAGGGACCATTTATGCAGAMAYCTGGGGTCACCACCACGTTTAGTGCCCAGGATCCGATTACTGCGACACAGCAAAGCACCTCTCATTTTGGCGCTAGGATGAGCAACCGCTGTGAGGCAGAAGGCTGTAAGATGACCGGAGCGCCTRAATATGGTGGATACTGCTCACAGTGTTTTGCAGAGTACACTAGACAATCCAGTTATCCAGAGTCCGTACCAGGTAAACATACATACACGACTTTCACAATTCAGGGATTTATTACTTTAATTARAAACTCACACACATTATCTAAAACAAAGGGAAGTCGTATATACCATAAGTCTATTCCATCTTGCACAGGCCTTTTCTGAGTTCGATAAACAGGTTGCATTGTGGTCTAGCGTGGGTACGAACACCAATATAAGGCGTGATGAACGAAAATCAACCACCCGAACTATACCACARTGCACCACTATCGCTATATCGTTTCTGACCACATGTCATTTTGTTTTCCCGAGTAACTGTATACATMGATGTGCTGTTTTAGCTTGGGTATAATGTTAGTTTTCATTAGGCCTACGTTGAACAGGCCAACGAAAACCAATAAATAGCTTACGTGGGACGTTACCAGTTGTTTTGAGTCTATTGACAATTTCTCGCTTTATTTTCTAGACGTGAAAGATTCCCCGAAGGTTCAGGCACAGATCCCACCAACCACCTTGTCTCTGAACAATTCAAACCTAACGAACACGGCTACCACCTCAACAACCACGGTCACTGGGGGTCTGACCACGCTGGAACCAGGTACYCCACGAGTATGCGCCATAGAAGGATGCGAAAACTTYGTAAYYCCTAAAACTATGAACCASTGTAGAGACTGCTTAGCGAAATATYATTCAAAATTTTCAAAAAAGCCATAAAAAGTTTGGAAAACCCGGGGGATCGAGAGACCAAGCSAAGTATAGATCCTTTGGATTAATTCCTAGAGCAGCTTAATTTGGAGGGATAAAACAATGGATCTTTGATTCTCATGATAGTACAATTTCTAATTTTTAGTCCTCTGAATTGACTAGCTGTTTGGGGAATTGATGCAAGGGTTTTTTTTATTTCAAACTGGGTCCAAGAAGCAATTATATCATTTTACAAATTTGAATGATGTGATTCACCCGGCAGCTCTTTAAAAAACGACTTTCTAAAGTATTAAGCTTTTTATTGCACATCAAGTCAAAGTAAACGAGCAATCATAATCAGTGCATTACAGTAGAATATACACTAGTGGGCTGTCGAAGATGTACCCTTCGATTTTACACTTATTAGATGAGGTTGAGCATGCAATGATAGAAACATGAATAATTGTCAATAATAGCTCTCTATCTTTGCAAGCTCAATGGCACGGCTACATTTCAAGCTGGCGCGGGGAACTGAAACGAACTATTTTTCTTTCAAAGAGAGACTTATTTCAATYTGCATTGTAACCTTAAATAAACTTAAAGTGCTTATAAGCCTTTACACAATATTTTCAGAATTGATTCTTTAAATAGTGAATAGTTGATTGTGAAAATAATTCGTCATTTGAATGTCGGGTCTTTGAGATACGAAGGTTATATATTCTAATATGTTAATGACTATGACGTAACATAAGGGATTTGATTTATTTTGTGGCAACTTTTAATATTGAACGCTGGACTTTTTGAAAACAAATTTGTAAGAACCTTTACGTGAGTCACGAGTAAAAGGGTAATGCTTTTAAAATACTGTATTTCAGTACGAGTGCAGTGTTGTATATTAAATGATCCCTTATGTTACGTCATAGTCATTAACATATTGGGAATATAAGCCTTTGTATCTTAAAGACCCGACATTCAAATGACAAAATATTTTCACAATCAACTATCGACTATCTAAAGGATCAATTCTGAAAATATTGTGTAAAGGCTTATATAAGCACTTTAAATGAACTTGACATGATAAATATATGATRATACATTTATACGGATAATAAATTGGTCATATCAAGTTCACACGATATCGTGGATTGGCCTAGTCTCCCCCACAGCCGCTTTCAGTGTCGTCACGCAACGCTTTCTCATGGGAGAAAGCGTTGCGTGACGACACTGAAAGCGGCTGTGGGGGAGACTAGGATTGGCCGAGACACTCGGCCAATCAGAGGCGAGGTAGTGAGTAAAACGTATAATATAAGACGTAGACATTGCCGATTCTACTTCATTTTGACGTCATCAACTTTAAAATGGTCTTATTTCCAAACACTCACTCACGCAAAAAGAAAAAAAAACAATGCTCGAACAGACAATTAAACAAACAAACAAAATTAAGAAAATAAGAAAAATACAATATGAAAATTAGGCCAACTACACTTCTATCTTAGAATGAATTTTGAAATCGCTTATTAAAATGATATTGCTTTTGCTTGTCAACTATATTATGTGTATTGCTTACCTCTGGCGTCATTATGAAATAGAACACTTATAGTATATCTAATATAGATATATTGAACATCATATTAAGAATAATAAAGCTTTCGAAAAATATATAATCAAACTATAAACTATTCCTTCTGTATTCTCGCTGTCAGTATATGATGTGTTATGATATATTTGTCACGCTGTCACACTTTCATTAGGGGCCTTAACGTACAGGACGGCAACGAGGACGACCACGGCAAGCATACAATAGCACTAATTGTACTATTCAATAGACTTTCGTTGGAATGAAATGTCCTTGTTTTACGTAGTAAAGAAAACGGGTATGCCGAAGGTTTATCTCTGCTGATTTTCATTTCCTAAAAGACGTCATTTCACTTTAAAACTGGGGTGCTTATTGAATGAAATACTATACAAACGTGAAATAATAGTATAATAGAAGGTTGAAGTGCCTCAATTTTGCCGAAGTTGTCGCCCGCGTTGCTGTCCTGCAGACTTAAGGTCCCTATTAAAATGATGCTATGGCCATTGATAGCTGTATTAATCCAAGTTAATCCGAAAAATTCAAAGCTAGCTGAGACCGCTAAGGGCCATGGACAGTTTTATATCCAGCAAGTAAAGCTTTTGATATAAACTACAGCTTGAGAATGCTCACAGGAACCGAAGCTGAAACTGATAAAAGATCTCGAATCCAGAGATCTTGGTTAAAACATGTAARATAGATTTATTTACTCATGCATGATCGTTGTGTACCTTAGCTTTGTTGCATTTAAGGTGATTTTTTTGAAAGGAGTATATGAGGTGAGGTCAAAACAACGTTCAACACGATTTTATTGATTTCCGGCACTTCCATAAACCTTTTCGTAGATAGGAAGCATGATGCATTGTGGTCTAGCTTGGGTACAAACTTCGTACTAGACCACAATGCATCCGGTAACCCAGATAAGGCTTATAGACGGTGGGTACACAGTAGATTAACCCACCCTCTCCTATAAATTGGGTTTCGCAAGATGACAATAGTATTGACCTTGTCCATTATTATAACGTTAATGATGATGTTAAGTTCAATTCTTGGGGTATTTGGTTAAGATAAAAAACACCACATTAAAAAAATCGAATTGATGGCAGAATTAGCCTGTGAACATTGGATAGATAATTATGACGTCATARGGGCTTATTTTTGTGATGACGTCASATGTATATGGAAAGTCCCTTGTGAGGATATTTGAATATTAAAGTAATGCTTACAGACCATTCATTGTATATTTTTGGATCTTGTATTTTTTTAATGTCATGTATATATGGTGATATGTCCTACATATTGCTTACACGGGGATGTTCAGCTGGACAGGGTACGTTGATCAAGGTCATCGGTCTTGGAWAGGTTAAAATTTTTGAACATTTTGACTTTTTTTCGAAACTGATTTGTTTTTCATCGCCAAAGCTTTTTAGCGAGTAACTGCCGGCGTTTGGTTAGAGTRATACACTCGAACCGTAAACAACCTTGTCGATGTATATGGTTTCAACAACAAGAGAGCATTATATATAAAGCAAAGTTCAACTCGTCGGTAGTATAGCGACTGATGGGAGAATGAATGCACGTGATGAAGCAATA